GCCCTGTTGATGACGTCAGCGACGCGGTTTAATCGGGCGCGGTTTAGTCGAGCGCGGTTTTGACGGGTCACGAGTCTTCCCAAGGCTTCTTTTAATGGCTGCTCTGTATTGCAAACTTTGGCCTTTTGAGTTCATTAACACAACTGAAATGAAACCTTTCTCAAAACCGTATCTTGTATAACAGAGAAGTCTTAAATGATCAGACTTACTAAAAAGTCCTTTAGGGAAGTGCCAGAATTTGAATTTCTTGACATGTAATATTTATTGCTTACTAAAATATACGTAATATAGAATAATGTGTTGTTCAGAACTGCAGTACCTGCTCAATAGTACTGAAGTGTTGTTTTTAATGTGTCCTAAGTAAAAACTGTATTAAATATATGGGCGTAATTTTAATTGGATTTAATTAAATTTACTTTTGGTTTAGTTTTAGCTGTATAATTTTTCATTTTTTCTCTGGCCTCAACTATCTTTTTTTTTTTTACATTTTCAGACTGGAAATAAAACCTTTTCATATTTAGTTAGATATCCTCATTTACCATGATAGAAAATGTCTATTTCAGGAAAATGACAGCTATTTTGCAATCATATTTATAGTGACTATTGTATGTCAGAAATTAAATTTGATTAATTTTATTTATCACGATTGTAACACTGCATAGGTGAGAGGTACATTGTTTTAGTGAACAATGAAAATTACCTGTCAGAATTAATAGAAATGAAATGTTACAGATTAGGACTGAAATACCAGGCAACTTCGCTTATTATCTTGATTATTTTCTAGTTTGAAGACAGTGAAGAAGATTTTGATTCAAGGTTTGATACAGATGATGAACTTTCATATCGGAGGGATTCTGTCTATAGCTGTGTCAGCCTACCCTATTTCCACAGCTTTTTGTATATGAAAGGTAATTTATTCAAGAAACAGTTTTTTTTCTTAAGTATCAAATATTAGTGCTTTACTTCTCTTTTGAAGGGAAACAAGTGGAAATCAGGATAATGTGTAATCATTTTTAAATATTCAGAATCTTCCTTTTTTTACTTTTTTTTTAATGATCCAGCTGTTAGAATTTGTTTTACAGGTTTTGTCTCATTTGTGTTACTTTCTCATGATCTCTAGCTTCTTTAATGATGATGAAAGTAATTGATGAAATAGCACATGATTTATCATCATCTTTACTCGTCAATCTTATATATATATATATATATATNTCCGCAGGAGGCCCAATCTGTGGGATCTTATAGGTAAAATGTGGTACTTGATTTTCAACAGTATGCTTTTAGTCTTCTATTTTGTTTTTCCAAAAATAAGGATGGAATTGGGAGATGGAAATCCCAATTACGTCAACTTTACAATTTCTACATTTAAAAAAAAAACAGCCTCAAGACAGCTTGAACCTAGACTAGTAAAACACACTGAGATTTAAACATTTTGCTAGTAAATTTCAAATGTAAAAATTTGGCCCTTTGCGGCTAGAGCTAGGAGAGCTTGGAGAATGAAAATGGGTATTGGTTTGCCAATGACAAAAAGGGGTTTTAAAAAAAGGTTGTGACATCACAACTTCTCAGTGATCTCTCACATACATGTAAATTAATCCTAACACTCAGAACGTTGTCCGTTTTAGAGAGAAAATTAATGGAAAGTTACAGAGCATTTTCTGAATGCCAAGATATTGGGTAGATAACCTCTGGCACAATATGATGAATGGTGTACTCTGGATGAAATGCATTCATTCACAGGCAGTGTTGGTTTATGAATTAGTTTTTATCTTTATAAGGGATCTTAAATTGCTTAATGCCCTGAAAATGTTAGTTCCAGGAAATGCAGACATTCAAAATGCAGGTTGTGACATTCATCAGGGGCTTTTCAGTTGCAGGAAATATAAACAGAATAATATAGAAATGGCCAAGCAAAAGCATTTAAGTGCCAGAAGCTAAAAAAAACTATGCGAGATGTGAGTGTATAAACAATTCAAGGAAATTTTCCATATGTGTGGAAACTGGGTGAAATCCATGTAGTATTAGCACCTGAGAACTAAATTGGTGGGTTAAAAAACGTTGAGATAGAATCAGTTGGATAATTTGAAAGTGACGTTTTATTTAAAATGTTATTTCTTCAGTTAGCAAAGACCAGTTTTTAATAGTCTCATTTGTTTTTTGGCAAAAATATAAACCATTATATACCTAATCATAAAATATGAAAACATGATTTCAATGCACTATTTACCAAATAAAATAATTATCCTGGGCAGTATTGTTCATGATTATGAAAGTAATGCTGAAAATATAGCCGCGTATCTCTAGAAATCCGTGATATGTCTATTTTAACTGTCTTGGGGGGCGGGGGGGGGACACAATATGATGTTCAGTGATGTCCCAATCAGAAGAAGATATTCATTTGTAATTTAAAAAGCCTGGCCTTCTCTTAATGAGAAATAATTTCTGTGACGTATTTACAGAATCCGTATTTGGTATTTATGACTAAAATATTTTTTTCCTCAAGTTGATTAATGTTGATGTTGAGCCGAGGTGGCACAGTGGTTATGGTGCAGTACTGCAGGCCACTTCAGCTGACTGTTATCTGCAGTTCAGCGGTTCTAATCTCACCGGCTCAAGGTTCCATCCTTCCGAGGT